CACTTGGTGTTTTTAGAGGTCTGTGTTTGCTCTGCTCCAATTTTGTATTGTTTCAATGGACTTTAAAGCTTGATCACTTTTGGTAATCTTCATATTTTATATACTATTAGAGTACTTGAAGAGAACTGTAAAGATTTAACATACAGTATAATGCATGTATATTGCACTTTAAGTAGAGTGTATGTGGTTTAGAAATGTAATTCATCTCATAGTGCATTGAATTTGTTGAAAATTAGAAACTTTGTTGAAATTGTTTTAGAATAATGTTAGATTGCAGATTTTTTTAAATCATGCAAGTAAGATATTGCTAAATATTCTTAAGCTTTTCTGGACAGTCTAGATGAGTTCTTGCTATATACCTAGCATTGTCATCCCAGTTAAAATTTAAGGAGCAAGGTTTATTCCTAAGCTCTAACTGGACAAACTTGCATGGATTAAAGCACATTAACAGATTTACTTCAGATGCTTGACCTGATCAACATTTTCTTCATGTGTTTTTTGTTTTTGTTTGTTTGTTGTTTAACATCCCTCTCAAGAATTTTTCATCCATATGGAGATGCCACTACTTACTGGTGGAGAGCTGCAAAATTTGACCTATACTTAGCACTCAGGGTCATTGAGCAATAAGGGATCTTTTTTGTGCCCACATCAACTGCGAGGTGGGACCTCGGTTTATACGGTCGAATCTGAAGGACTGGTCCCCACATCCCCAGTGGATCTGAACCTGAGACTTAAGGATTAAATCCTTACTTGCGACTCTAGATTACACACTCTAGCCTTTGCGCCACATGGGGGACTCCACAAGAGTAAGTGTTTTGAGCAGTCCTATTCTCATGTAATTATAAACTGTATGTTGAACAAACCTGCAAAGATGATGTATGTTAATGTTTCAGGGTACCAATCCTTGATTTGACTTAGATTTTCTGGATTAATGACCAGTTTTTTAGAGAAGGTTCATTCAAAGTAACAATATACTCTTTGGTGATCAGTAAACATAGATGATGCATCCTGCTTCTGATGCTGGATGTAACATACATTTTCAGGGTTATTGAGCAGTTAAATCTAACCCAGAACAACTTGCATAGATTTTGGATTCAGGTGATATACATTACCAGAGTCTTTGTTGAGTGAGACTTTGCCTTACTAGTGGATAACATTTATAGAAGTGAGCTTTGTATTCTTTGATTATACCATCAGTGCCAACTACCATACATTTTATATAATAGATGTAGCTGTTGTTCAACTGAATATGATAAAACTGTGGATGAAAATAATTTGATTTTTGTACCTTTGAATGTATTGAATTAATTTGTAAAAGCTGTTATGATACAAAGTTTGATATTTTATCAAAGTTTTTAGCATATGCAATCAATAAATGTATCAACATTTTTATTTTATTATACTTTTTACCCTGCAAACTTCTTAAAAACAGAATAGTAATGATCCATTCAACTGATACTAGGTTAGTGTCACACTGTACTTGTATATCATGTATATTGAACTGTAAATGAGAAACATCTAAATATGTCAAATCACAGCATGAATCATTGGATTATGTAAGAAGTGCACTATCTTGTGCTTTGGTATGGTATTAATAATAAATGTTAAACTATCATTTTTTTTCAAATTAACAAAGGATATGCTTGAGTGACTGTATTTTGACTAGCAGTAAAAATAAAATGATTTTGAAGCATTTGAATTATTTTGATTCATGGTCTCTGCAAGTTTAATGATAGCAAATATGTATATTGAACATGGCATCTACATATTGCTATACTGGATCTTAATCACAACATTGAAATTTTATGTAGTACATGTACTCTTGGTTTCAACTGGTCAAACATATTCTTAAATCACAAAGAATTTAAACAAATATAGGTATGATTCAGAACTTCATCAATTAGTTGGAAAGTGAATGCACTCAATGACTATATGGTTTAAAAGAAGCTGGGTATAAATAGCAGGAAAAACTACTTGATTTCCACTGTGAACTTTGTGTCCTCAACAAAACAATATGGAGTATACTATACTTGGTCTAAAGAATAAGTCTAATCTATGTCTGCATGTCTATGTCTGCATTCACTTTCAGGTTAAACTGTATTGGACATTGAGAGTTTGTTTGTTGTTTAACGTCCCTCTCGAGAATTTTTCACTCATATAGAGACGCCATCACTTGCCGGTGGAGAGCTGCAAATGACCTATGCTCGGCACACAGGGCCAATGAGCAGTGAAGGATCTTTTTCATGCCAGTATCTACTGTGACACTGGACCTTGGTTTGTACGAAGGACCGGTCTCCACGTCCCACAGTGGGATTCAAACATGTGACATAAGGATCAACTCCTAACACGGCAACTCTAGAGCATAGGCTCTTACCACTGCAACATGTGGGCGACAGCATTGAGAGTTAATTGTGGATATCAGAACAAGCTACTCTGGGCTTATACTCTCTATATATTGATTGATTGATTGATTGTATGTTGTTTAGCGTCCCTCTCGGGATTTATTCACTCATATAGAGACGCCACTACATGCCAGTGGAAAGCTGCAAATTTTGTCCTATACTCAGCACTTACAGCCATTGAGCAGTGAAGGGATTTTTTCGTGCCAGCACCTACTGTGACACGGGACCTCGATTTATGCGGTCTCATCCGAAGGATCGGTCTCCCCAGCCAACTGTGGGATTTGAACCTGCGATGTAAGGATCAACTCCTTACTTCTCTACTCTAGAGCAGACGCTCTAACCACTGCGCCAGGGGGGCAACTACTCTCTATATAAGTCACTTGTGCAATGACTTTAGTTTTATATTCAAGATTTTGTACTGATCATGTTGAGTCACATTAACACAAATATCTTTCTGCTGAGCTTGACCAATGACCATCCGCAACTATTCTGGTTGGAAACAATATGTTAATTAATCCATAATCAGTGAAATTACTATGAAAGAAAAATGGTCTACTTAAACCACAAGTTATATGTATAAAAGTATACACTGGTCTCCTTAAGTCATATGAGAGAAACATAAAATATTAGGGAGACCATTTTTTTCATATATTTTTAGGAGGCATTTATAATGAAAAAATAAAGCAAGAGTCGACTAAATGGTGTTCTATAGAACATTGATCTGGTATTTCTTTTTAGAAAAAAGCAAATTTAAAAAATCTGTATATTGTCTCCTTAAGCCATATATAATGTTCTGGTCTCCCTAGTCCTTAAATCAGAGTTATATATATATATATATATATATATATATATATATATATATATATATATATATATATATATATATATATATATATATATATATAAACAAATATTTTTATTTGTGCAGAATTTATGTACATGTATATGTATAAAAACTATCTGGTTTATTCCTTCTTTTTTAATGTCTTTCTCCTATCAATCATGCAACTCTTTCTCTCTTGTGTGTATGTATATTGTATAACATGTATATGACTATATATAAATGTTAATTTACAATGTACCTTCCTTTTGCCCCATGAGGGCCCTTAATTTGTAAATAAACAAATTGAATTGAATTGAATATCTTACTAAAGAGGAGAAATCGTCATGCCTATCACAGACAAAGTGTAATAAATATCAGAATCAAATTTTGAAAAGAAATTAAAACCAAAAAATATTTCAACTCAAAGTTTAACAACATACATAATGTTATAAGTTTCAGATTTTTAAACTTTTATTTCAAATGTAGTACTGGCAAGGAGACTGACACATTTAACTGATATACAGGTTTTTCCTTTGCAAACATTGGGACCCCCTCCCCCTTCCTCAAATTCGAAACAATGCCTATAGTTTTTAAGCTTAAATTACTTTAGACCATTGCTACGCATGCGCAGTTTTTGTTTTGTGACTGATATCCACCAAAATGGCGCACATGTGAAGAGTTTGGGAAGGGGTGATACCGATTATTGCTTATATTTTCTAGATGTTATCAGTCAACAGTTTGTTACAGAGCAGACTTTACCATAAAATATCACTGACTGATAATTCATAAACGATTTTTAATTAGCAGCTGATATGACCAAGTTTTGGTAGACCGTAAAGCTGCAAACAAAGCTGAAAGAACTAAAATTTTCAGGTAATAAATGTTTCATTAGGCCTAAACAGTGTTTGGCTAATCAGCATACAATTATGTTATTCTCAGCATTAAAGAATGATAGAATTATGATCGCATGGAAGCTGATCAAGTTAGAAAGAAAAGCTAAAATCATACGTAATTGCATAATTTATAAATATCGGTTCTAACATTAACTAGAAATTTGAATTGCTTGTAATGAAGGTTGACAGTTTTTTTATATTGTTCATTGTTTTATTTCTTTAATCACTTTCTGGCTTCTGAGTAGAGATTGCTTTTTGGCATCATTTTCACATTTAATTTTCTCTGCGATTTCGAAAAAAAAAGTTGTCATTGTTCAATTTTTGATACACAAATTTTGTTAATTACTGTTTCACCCTGTTTTAAAAATACTATTTCTTACACATATGATATCAGTAGAATGAAGACTACAGAAAGTCTTGGATTTATAATCATGTACTCTGTTGACCATGTGTATTCTGTTAGGCCTATAGATTACATATATATTTTAGATTTTCTAATGTTGTTGTTACTTTATATACAGAGTTTATGAAATTAAACTTTTTTCTAAATAAAGTCATTCCAATATAATATATTCATTTATAGTTTGGGCTGTGTTGACATCCACAGCTATGAAAGTTACTCCCCTTTGCTGAGGTCACAAATTCAAAATCTCATCTGCTTCTTCCAGATCATAGCTTATACCATAATAATTGCAAAAATTACATAGAATGTGCAAGGTTAATTACTGCAGTTATTCTAATTTAAATGTTAAATGCTGACATTGTCAGTTGTTAACAGTGGTCTTTGTATTGCATTATATTTTTGAGAAGAGTTTAATTAAAAAAAATTCTGTTCAAGCATTATATACTTAATTTAACAAATTAAAGCCATTTACTTCTCTTTCAGAATGGCAAGTAAGACATATAAAACTTACAGTAAATTTACTGGTAAAGATTCTGCTGCCAGTCGAGCATTTGATGATGTCTTAAACAACAAATCTGCCCCACCAGTGCCAATTAAAGCAGAAAAAACCAAATGGGGAGACACGTCATTCACACGAGTAAGAAAAGATGATCCTTTCCAGGTTACATTTAATAAAGTGAAAGTGGAAAATGAGACTGTAGATGAATTTTCCTTTGACCTAGAAGAAGATGAGAGCTTCAAAAAGAAAATTCCAGCAAATAACAGCAGTGCTCCAAGTGCTTCTTCTGGATTAGGCAGACCTGCTATTGCTAATGTAACCAAAACATCAAAGAAGCAAGTTCCAGCTGAGGTTCCAACACATTCTCCTAAAGTGGAAAAGGAGGAAAGTGAGTCTATAAATAATGATGATGATGATGATGATCTGGAACCAGTTATGTTTAAAAGACCAGTTAGAACATATTCACGTTCAGTTAAAAAGGAGAAAGCAGCAGAGGAAACACCAGAGCAAATACAAGAAGAGGAAGAAAGTGAAGGCATCACAAAAGAGGAGATGGAAGATTCTTCTATTCCATTTTCAGAAAGGACCGATGTTTTCTCAGATAAAAATGATGAAGAAGGAAATTCAATATATGGCAGAGGTAAAAGGGCACAAAAGATTACGTCAAGAACTCATATTCTTCAGTCAGATGATGATGAGAGCTGTGGGGCAACTGTGCTGAATTTCCGCAGCCGTTACATGGATCCTGCTGTGTATGGCAACTTTGAGTACACACCACAAGGGGATGACCCAGTGGGACGGATGAATAATAGCAAAGTTCTTCAGCAGAGTGAAATCAAACATGGAAAAGGATCCACATTGATTGTGATTTGCTCTCCAAAACCACCTGCTCAAGGAACAACAAAACTTCATCCAGTAAGAACCTACAAAGTTCGAGATCCAAATGCAAAAGCATCAGAAGAAGGAGAAAAACCCCAAAAGGAAGAATATCAAGCCATCCCACCAAAACCAATTATCATTAGAAATAGACGGCGCCCCCAGAAGAGGAAAGCAGAAGATGCATCTAAACCATCTGTTCCTCCAATAGAGACCCTTATTAATCTAAAGCAAGAACCAAAGTATACCCCAGCACCTCTAAAAGATTCAAACAAAACAAAGGATACAAAACCCAGAAAAAATAAGATCTTTAAGTCCAGAAACAAGGTGGAGGATGAAGGAGAGGAAAAAGAGGTCCCTGTTCCTTCAGAAGATACAGCTGTCAATGAGGAGGAGGCACCAGTCTTAGAACCACAGGTGGATGATTCTATTGTCTCTCAACAAGAATCGGTCACCTCTGAGGATAAAGACACTGCTTTTGGATTTGAAGAAATGGATGTTGATAAAACTCCCGAGAATTCACAAGAAGAAATTCTGGAGGGTGAAACATATAGGGAAATCCCAATAAAACTAAAAAGAGTGGAAGAGCTTCAGAGGGAGGATAATGGGGATAGTCAGTCCTCAGAGGGGGAGATGGAAAGTTCACAGGAGATGCCATCTTCTCAAGAATCCACAGAAGAATTCAAACAACCCAGTAGAGAACGCAAGATATTTAAATCTAAGAATACAAGGACAGCACAAAAGAAGGTGTCTCCAAGTCCAAGGAAGGTACTGAAAAAAACTTAGTTAATTAATGTGTACACATGATAATGTTTGAATTGCTTATTAAAAATAAATATTATCCTCTGTTTTCTTTAACAGTCACCAGCAAAAGCAACATATAACGTGAGGTCCTGGCAAGAAGATTTTGATGAAGAGGAACGGGTAACCATGATGATGCAAAGAAATGTGCATATTGCTTTTGTTTGCTTTGCTTTAATACCACATTCATTGTGTGTTTCAGGGTTTGACACTAATTTTCTATTATAGTGGTCCAAAAGTCCAAATTTCTTGTAGATCTTCTCAAATTATAGTAGATCTTTCAAAATTGACATTTTTTTAGTGCACACCGTTTCATTTGAATAGAGTTAAGGAGAGAAGTACTTTGAATAGTTTGAAACCAATGAAAAGGATTTTTTTTATTGAGTTGAGGAAGGGGATATTAGTGATAACATTTAATTTATTCCATTATTTAGCATATGAAGTTTGGGGGGGGGGGGGGGGGGGAGATCATGATGCTTATCTAATTCATACCTACAGCTACTCATCATATATAAATGAATATGTACTGGTAAACACAAAAAGATTATTTTGTATGTCATACATTTATCATATTGTTTGATACCTCTATTAATGCCTACCAGAAGCATGTAATGAAGAAAAATAGAGTAGAGAAAATTGACTTCTGGTCTTCTGTTCAAACCTTGAATTGCATGGTGAACACTCACATCATCATTTTTGAATCAGTTTTCCTAAAATTCAACAAAAATTTTCATACATCAGGGTATTTTCTGTCATTGACCCCTTGTTCAAACCCCATAGAATATTTATGATCTTTGTGAATGAATGTCAAATTGGACATTTTTAGCGAATTCATGAAGAAAATAAGGACTGTGTTCCTATCACCTCGTTGTTTTGCATTGAAAACACAAAATATGAATTACTTAAGCTAAAAATTGATGGATGCAATATAATGATATAATAAGATCACAAAAGATTCCTGTTCATTTAAACATAATATGTAATTTTATTTTAAAAATATTCAATTCACAATTTTTTTTTATCCAACTACAATTTCCTGTAGTGGACAGATTTCAGCTCATCAGGTGGACCTAAAAAAATTTATGAATTCAGTTCACTTTTTACATTTAGTGTCAAACTCCGTAAAAAAAATTCTCTTTCCATGTTCAATACCTGTATATTTAAAAAAAAGAATGTAAATGTTTTCTCATAAAAATACAGTAACAGTTAATTGGATTTAAAGTTTCTCTTACGTTAAACACAATGAATGTGTGTTAGTAGTGAATATATCATTTCATTTGTTTTTCAAAGCCAGTTTTGATATAATTTGAAATAATTTTTTGGAAAATAGTTTCTAGTTTAAGAACTAGCAGAATTTTTTTTTAATTAGTTGAAATATAATCAATGTATTGCTGCTTGACCAAAAAGAATGTTATGACAAGTAAAACCAATCTGTCTGAAACAGTTGACTGAAATTGGAATTTCAGATGAATGTATGTCTAATGCACTATATTGATTAATACATATTATTACAACTTGATTACATATATGCGATGTATTTATTTGCATTTAATTCATTATATTATAACTATATAACTTTACTAATCTTAATTTGTAGGACCTAGATTACCTTTGTAGATTTTAGTTTCATACTCTGCATTTTGATATCTTTATTTGGAAATATGAGTGTTTACCTTTTCTGTAGCATGCAATTTCATTTTTCATATAAAAATTTTGCTTTTTATCTTTTTATATGTATTAAGAATTTTAGTTAACTTAATATATTGATGCTCAGGGCTCGAAATAATATTTATTTTTCACTGGTGAGTCTGTCTGTTAAAAGAAAAAAATTACTGGTCGATTGATAAATATCAGTGACCCAGTTGACCAGTGAAAATAAATTCTAGTCTGAATTTTATAAACTATTGTGAACAGACTATGTTTTTTATCCATTCTTATGTTTTAATAACTTTCACTTGAGACAAAATCAAATGAAGATCATGCACTGAAACATACATGTATGTCGGTTTTATCATCATCATAATGGAAATGGTAGATTACAAATAGGTATTTTGGTAGGACCATCAATTTTTTGGGAGGGGATTGGGGGTTTAAGGATCATCTCTTTGAACACTTAGATGTAGATAATGGTCTGACAATTTGTTGGCAGTAAACCTAACTAATCTGTCCTGCCCCTGTGCTTTATAAAGCACTGAGCATACTTCAGATTTCACTGGCCCAGGCCAGAGAGCCTTTTTTTTGAGCCCTGATGCTAAAGCTTAAATCATACTTTCATAAATGTCAGTATATAATGTTTTGCATGTACCTAAGCATTTAATATGATAGATTGACAGATATTACCTATTATTAGTAATCATTTCTTGTTGCAAGTATCTTGGAGGAAAAAAAAAATTACATACCTCAAATTCATGTCTTAAAATCTGAATGTTAAGTCACATCTGTTTTGAAACTTTAAACCAGTCTATCATCTTCTATAATCTCTGCAATAAAATAAATTGCTCTTAGGGCCATTTTAAATTGTTATTGTCCATTTTCTTGAAGTTTATACTTCATCTGCTGTTTTAGAACAAGCAGAATCAAGAGGAAGAAAATGGTTCACAGAGTGGTCCTCCTAAACTGACCCGTTACTCAACGTGGCCCCAGTCTGGACCAGAGGCCAAGAAACCCCCTGAGGAGCCCCCTAAGCTGACCCGTGCTGTTCACTGGCCAGACAGAGAGGGAGATGAGGCATATACTTCTGTTCACATCAATAAAGAGCACAAACAGGTAAAAACATTTTTAGATACTTTACTAACTTTATTAAATTCAAATGTTGTAGGTGGAAGTAAGAATTTTGTAATTTGTATTACCATTTGTGCCGAAAATTTTTTGCTAAGACAAGAAGATCATCTCGTTTTGAAAGGAGAAGAACTTGTACATGATTGGAATCATATTAAAACAATGTTGGATGTATTATCAAACACACTCTAGGTCATTAAACTCATTCTAATTGATATTCCTGTCACTAAGGCCTTGAAATATATAAATAAATATTATGTAACTTTTCTTATTTTTAGCTTTACACTGTGGTGAGGAATGTGAAGGAGGCCCATGAGTGTCAGGAACATGGAGAGACCCAGGAGTTTGCTGATGATGTAGAGTATCTGTTGTCTGGGATACAGGAAGGAGAACCCATGTCCACCAGGTGTCTCAGGTATGGCTCAAAATAAAACATGGTTACATATTGTATTCACTGAGAGATATTACCAAAGCCTTTTACATTGTTTACCACAGGATATTTTCTTGATATTGTGTTTGAAAACTTATTTTGTGTTTTAGGTATTGTTTCAATGTATAGCATTTCTGATAATTGTTTATTCTATAAATCTTTATTGTAATTATTACTGGTATAGAATAAGAAATTTTGTTCTACAGTTGTATTGGTCTTGCCCAGAAGAGTATTTTACCAGCATTTAGAATGCACCTACGAGCCCATGGAACTGTGGCTAAGATATTTGGTCATCTGAAGGATGCTGTTTCTGATCCAGTAAGCAGTAGTTTGTAATTTATTGTTAAGTTTCTGTTCTATAAATAAGTTTAGTGAGGTGCACTAGATTAATCCTGGCTGATTTTATGCCTATTGATATATTTTATTATAAGAATATCTTTGATATCAGATTCCCAATTCTGTTAAAGATTGTTATTAGAAGTTTAGCATTTGTAAGAGAAGCTAAACATTTAAGATGTGCAATGTACAAATATGCATTGTCTCAACATGTCCTATGTTGAAGTCTGCCATTTGATGAGTTGAATTCTGCCATTTATCAAGTTTTGTTGTGATCAAGTAACACAACATCTTAAAAATCTCAAACATCATCAAGTTTTAAGTAATGGATGATAGTCTTTTGAAATAATTAAATTTTTATAAATGATTTTTATCAAATTAATTAGTAACAGTTGTGATTTATTTGTAGTAATTGTCATCATTGTGTAAATTGTCATCATGAATAAAAATATCTCCTTTCAGAGTTTATCTCTGTGCACTGCCTTGTTGATGTTTATGATGAGTCGAGATCGACTGAACATGGACCTGGATCGACAGAGTCTGGATCTGATGTTGAAGCTGCTAGCGGTGGACAATCAGGAGGAACAGAGTGTTACTCTGATGGGAAAGAGAACCCTGAACCGTAACAAAGATCGTGCTCGAGAGGTGTACGTGCAGTGGAAGGCTGAGGGTGGGGCCACTAATCTACCAGAGTTAGAGGATGTCTCAGTAAGAGAAAATTTTGTATACATGTAATGCTTAAAGTAAAGGACTGAGAAAACAAGAATCTCATAAAGCATTGAATCCTTTAAAATGAGATTCATACATGACATATAATTCTGCAGCAACAAATATATTGTTGCAACATTGTCAAAATACAGGAATTTAAGCCATGGATTTTAATAAGAAAATTTTGCTCATTTTTCAGACAGGAAATCTTGCCATGGAATCTCTGCTGAGTTTAACGTCACGTCGAGCAGGAGAATGGTTCAAGGAGGAATTACGGAGCTTGGGGGCTCTAGACCACATTGTAGACACTGGTTGGTTTCTTTACAGTCTTAATCCTACTAATCACCCTTTTTTCTTAGTCCATACATGTTGCACCTATCAACAATTTCATTTTGAAACAAAGTATGAACCTAGAAACAAAACTATTATAACATTCAATATAATGATCAGAGGTCACAATGGCTTTATCACTCTTGCGAAATGTTTTTATGGTGATATTTCAGGATAGAAAAGTGTTTATTTATTTGGACCTATTACCGTAAGTTTTGGGGTATATGTCGATGGGGTGTATAGGTCGAAAGGCTCATTTTCAGCTGTAATTTTTAAAAAAATCCTTAGATAGGACGAATTCGGAAGATACGACGAGGCTTTGTTTATCGATTTCTAGAGATTCTTACGTAGATACTACGTATCAGAACATGTAAACCTCTTTAACTTAGCCCGTGATATTAACGTATTGAGAAAATAAACTAGTATTTTTATGAGTACAGTATTTTAATAGTGTTTTATACAAACGTAGTTAAAACTTCCTTGAATTGTGATATAACGTATTTTCTCCAACTTGCCTGTTCAATGCCGTCGTAGTTTGACTCTGTCGTTAAACACATAAATACGGTAGTATAAAACAGCTAGAATTAGGGAAATACCCGAAATCAAACAATAATCATTTCCATTTTAGAACATCGTGGACACATTTTATTACGACATTAATTACCGGGGTAAAAAATTAACTTCGATGACCGCCATTTTTACATTTTCTTGTCTAGGGATTTGCTAAAACACGCAAATGACTATTACATGTAACAGTGCGTAAATGAAATTAATCATATTAACATGCTATAATTTTGCATGAGATATTGTAGTAAAAAATAAATTTAATTGAGAGTACATTCGCAATTTAACAGTCATCAAGAATTTCACAGTTTTGTTTGTTCAATGATGTATAGCACTAATACCCCTGTAACGGCACGTGGATCTGTTAATCATGCCCCGCAGGTGTTTTAACCAACACAGGTGTTAACACCTTTGTGTACACAGTGTATATCCCTTTATCTGTCAGACAATTAAAATTCTATTAGAAGCCAATCTGTGTATAATTCAGTGTACCCCTTGGGTACGAGGAAGCTTTCAATTCTATCATTTAAAAAAATATTTATTTTTTAAAACAAAAAAACTGTGAATAAAAAATAACGTATCGTAAATAAATGAATTTATAACTTCCAAAAACGTATAATAGTATATTCAAGATAAGTTCGTTTTATTATAATTAATTAAGATATAAAACAAAATAGTTATTACTAGCGGTATATTTGGTAAATAAATTTAGGAATTTACTGGCAACAATTTACTTCACGCATTTTACATTTAAATGAATATCACAAGACAATGAACAAATATTTAGGCATACTATTTCAATTAATCGTTACAAATAAATGGTAAAAAAAAAAGATTATAATTGCGATTGTGAAAACTCTTCTGTAATTTAAATTTTGATACGGCTGCGGTTTTCTTTTTAGTAAACGATTGCGACTTCCAACTTCACAAGATGGACACAGCATGTTGTAAATATACTTTGAGACATTAATTACTAGATGATATACCGGTAATAAGTTTTTTTTTTGTACATCGACGGATATTTAATGGAACTTATTTTGTAAGAAATCAATGGAATAAATATTTAATTCTTTATTGTTTATTATTTTTTTTCTCGGTAAAATAATTTTAAAAAATATGAAAATGGCACAGATTTGCTTTAAAATTGACGTAAATTTTACTGATTTGGAGGCATTTTTCGTAAACTTGAGCCTTAGATAGGTCGATTCGTTAAATAAGACGACCCCAGCGGTTCTGAGAAAAAAAGTATCGTCTTATCTTCCAAAACTTACGGTAAGTCTTCTGAGGGTAGAGAAAGGTACAACTTAATTTTCAAGGAAATTATATTGTCATATTTACTGTAAACATAAACATAAATTAGCACACTTAAAATTCAACTGATCTGTGCAATCATATATTGGGGCACTAGAGTTTTAACAATGGCTTGTATTAGTTTCAATCATATATTAGCATGTACGTAAATTATGGGACAAGAAGCAGCAGGAAGGCGCTAAAATATGATTACCACTAAAATAAGTATGTGTACAGGATAGGATAAAAAAAATTGAATTAGACATGTAGTAAACTGTTAACTTTTTTTATAAGACTTTAACTGGATTAAGATTTAACTTTTGAACATAATTCATGTAAAGTATATCCTTTTCACCATGTTGAAAATGTCCCAAGTCTGGAAGAGTGGGCATAGAGAGTAAATATTCATGTTTTTCAGCTCCATTTTAAAAAATGTAATAAAATGTATCTTTTTTTCAGTGTGTTCATGTATAGAAGCTTTGGGAGATGACACCACCTTGGTTACAGACAGTATGCTGGAAAACATGAAGAAAATAGACAGATGTCTACGAGTGCTGGAAAATGTAAGATATTGGAAAGAATATTGATTAGAGAAATGTTAATCAAAAGATATACATCGAAATTAAAGTCAAATTATCGAAGTTCCAAGTTTTCTTAATACATGTTTGCAGCTTTTCATCATTTTTAGCAGTGTCTACACATGAATGTCCTTAACACTAGTTAAACTCAGAAATGACAGATTTATAATGAAAAAGATATTAATATTTCTCAAGATTTTTTGGCAAATAAATAATCCCATCCTAAAAATGTGCAATGAATGTGGATCATAAAATAATTTTTTGGAGGGGTATTAACAAGAGTCAAGACTGTTGTAATGAGATGATCAAATTATTGAGGGAAGACCAAGATACTGATTGAATTTTTTTTACTGAATATTGAAAAATTGAAGATGGTGTATAAAAAAGAGATAAATTTTGATGGCTTTCATAGCATCAAATTGATTAATTTGGGTATCAGTTAGTTCGGGACAGAGAATGGTGGCACTTTGAGGTTGGTAACTTCCTAAACTTTGTCAATTTTTGTTAGTATTCTTCTTCTTGTTCACCTAGCTCACCCAGGCCATAGGCTTGACAGAGCTTTTCTGATCAAATGTTTTATGTTGTATGTATATATATTATTCCCTCAAAGCTTCTCAAACTTCTAATTTCTTCTAGTGTTCAGCCTCATTCAAAAAAAAAAAAAAAATCTGGCACAAATATTCAGTTTGTTGTTATAAAAAAGGCTATGCTTAACCTTGAGACTGATACCCAAACATGTATTATGATATACATGTATATTGGTAAAGTAATATTTTGCATGACTTCAAATGGGGAAAAAAATTAATTCTAAATTGCTTATGTTTTGTGTTTGTTTAATTAATGTTGATTTTAAAACAAGCTGTTTTGCATTTAGTATTGGCAATTAGTATTTGCATTTTGTAGTTATAAGTCAATTGAAAAAAAGTATTTTAAATGTTTGATGTTTGGTAAAAAAAACTCTTTATGAAATACAAAGTTGTTCTGAAGACATAACTTTCATAACAATCATCAAATTTTCACATTTGTCTCGCATCGATCAAGACAAAATCTGCCTCTTTAGAATGCTTTAGGCCAAATCTAAATATTTGATATCCATATTTAGAATTCTATGCTTCTGAGGAATATTAATTACTTTCAGTCAAAAAAAAAACAAACATTGCTACTATGATAACTGTGAAACAGATGGGGCTATCCAATTGAGTTTCGTTTAATCAGTATATTAATGAATGTTTGAAATATTGCCATACAACTAACCTTTATAATGTAAAGATATACATGTATATTTTTTATGGCATCGAGCTCTTGAGCTCGAATGCCATGTAGTGGGCGACCAAACTTTATGCGACCGAATGTGTACGTCCATGCATCCGCAAAAGAAAATTGCAGTAACATTGCATCATTTTCTTTGAAAATGTTCACAGTGAATAATAGCTTGAAAATAAAATTGCATCAATTATATCTACAAATAATTCTGTCTCATAACAAAGATACCCTGTTTTATTTTCACGCAAGAAAAACGCGACAGTTCTTGCGGATGAATTTCTAAAAAAAAAAGCCTGTGTTGAATGACTTGAATAACATTTACGAAGGAGAACCATGTAAACACAGACAACTAAATAGGCGATAAAATGACCACGAAATTAAACACGGATACTAGAAGACTAAAAGGATTGAATTTCCAAATCTAAACCTTACTTTTAAAATCTTATAACCAATTTTATGATAAAAACTGAAGTTATTACTGTATTTCACCATTTCTTCCATATCGCATTTTAAATTTTAGGCCTACCACGCTCGATCATATTTCAATCGTAGTCATAACAAAGCATGTTACGGTTGTTGTTTAGATGCACTAAAACAATGCTTAGACATTGACAATTAGAAAAATATTCATATGAATTCATTAAATCCTTGACAGTTCTTTAACTGACTTAAAAAAAGATGAGTTTGATTTCCAGCAAGAACATGTTCTATGGTGTCTAGTCAATTCGAACCCTGTTCTATTCGGACCATGGCATAATGCCCCAAACTATAATTTTGACATTTTGTTTAAAACTTAACATTTTTACTAGTCACTTATTTGACCTACTGCTATCTTCAAATTAAAAAAAAATGTTTTGAAATTGTTTTTCGTGTTCGATGCCATTAAAGCCTTTTAGGGTTTTGATTTTAACAAATGCAATGAAGAAAAGTTAGAGATTATACATTCAGAATAAACAGTGCTCTTGGTACTGTCTAGCAGATCCTCTAAAATTATGGTAGAGTAATATTGCAAAGTCATCTCTGTTCTGAATTTTCACTTTATTATATCAATGGTTTATATCTATCTTTGCAGGTGTCCTTTGTGAACACTGATAATCAGCTGTATCTCATTTCATACAAGGCAGGCATTCTAGTGACTTCTTTATGCAGGTATAATGATTCATTAATTCTTGTGACGTTTTCAAAGAAAAAAAATGTTTTATGTTGAAAATTTTTAAACATCCTTCTAGCATTTCAGTTCCTGGTACCATAGATTAAATTTATTTCCCAGATAGGTTTCACATCCTTGTTTAAGCAATATATTGTTTACAGTTTTGAAAAGAAAAGATCCTTTTACACGAAAGTGTGGAAAGCAATATTTAAACTCATATTATGTCCTGAAAACTTTGATAGACTGATGTTCATTTTTTGTCAATCCTTATTTTCTCAAATGTTATTTGTAAAAGCTAGCAAAATTTATGAACATTCACGCTATATCTTATTTCTAGATATAGAAAATGAAGTAAATAAAAGTGAGAATTTTTATACCCCCGCTCCGAAGGAGAGGGGGGTATACTGTTTTACCCTTGTGTGTCTGTCTGTCTGTCTGTCTGTCCGTCTGTCTGTCTGTCCGTAACAAACTTTGGTCGCAGTTTTCTCAGCAACTACTCATCAGAGGTGCTTGAAATTTTAACACACTCTTTGTTTAGGCATGCCATATGGTGGGATTCATTTTTGTACGAATCCGATGTCAACTTCCTGTTTATCCGTGCGTCTGTCCGTACCATACATAACAAATTTTGGTCGTAGTTTTCTCAGCAACTACTCATTGCAGATGCTTGAAATTTTAGCTCAATCTTTGTTTAGGCATGCCATATAATAGGATTCATTTTTGGAACAAATCCGATGTCAACTTCCTGTTTATCCGTGCGTCTGTCCGTACCATACATAATAAATTTTGGTCGTAGTTTTCTCAGCAACTACTCATCGCAGATGCTTGAAATTTTTTCTTTGTTTAGGCATGCCATATGTTGGGATTCAGTTTTTACAAATCCGATGTCAATTTCCTGATTATCACTGTGTTTGTCCATAACTGAACTTGTGTATTCACATCAGAGCGGGGGTATTATTAGTGGGCATTGGCTCACAGACTTCTTGTTTGTACCATTTCAGAGCTCTTAGTCTGTGTGAGAAATGCTTTCCTGTTTACCCAATCAATAGCTCTGAGAACATAGACAAGGGATCAACAGGATATGTCATTCTTAGTCTGGTGTTGGCTATACTACGAGTCCTTATCAACATCACTCATGATAATGGTGAGAACCTTATTATCAACAGAGTTTGCTTAATAGATTTTGTAATTTACCAGAAAAGAAGTATTGATGTCATGTTTTCTTTCCATATTTAGAGTTTGGTTGCACAAAAGTGGGAGACCAAGAAGGCTTCATCAAGACAGCCCTGATCTGTGTACTGGACACACCCCGATATGTTCCTGTGGATATGAGATTTGACATGCTTGTTCTGGTAAGTTTGTTTACGCTATGCAGCTGATAATTTCTTTCAAAGAACAGATTTTAATAAAATATTTGATACTCAGTGGGAGAGCTTATTTTCATTTTCTGAATCTTGTGTCAATTTCAGAGTTTAGGTTTACTGATTAACATGGTGGAACATTGTGGGGTCAACAAAAGAAAGCTAGTGGAGTCGGAGACCTGCAGGTCTTATGAGGTGGCTCCAGAAAATGCACAGGTGCAAGTCCCAGCTACCAAAGCACTTTGTGAGGTGAGCATGTCATCAGAAAGTTTACTGGCTTTCTTTGATTAAGCATTTTAAATAATTACTCCTTTGCAAACATGGTCTTAAGGCTTTTCATGTTTTATTCAATTGAAAAAAAGATTCAAAATGTTTTTCCACAGGTTTTTTCTACAAGATTTGAAATTGCTAAAACCATGGAAGAACAAGATTTTGGTGAGCCCTCGACCCCAAAAGCTTCACCGAACAAAAGTGGGGAGTGGAAGGAGTCAGACTCGGGGATTGAGTGGGTTGTAGCTTCTGCAAAGAAGGACAAGGAGGGAAAAGATACAAGTCGGGTTGAGTCACCAGTGGATGACAAAGCAGATAATCTGGATGATGAAGAAACATTTACTAAAGGTAAGGACTTGTAGAGGAAGACAACTCTCTTTTCTTTAAAAATATTTCAGTGACAAGGCACATTGTGTATGCTGTTCGTCTGTGTGATAATTTCTATCAGTCTGAGAGATAATTTATGGGTCACCTTATTGGACAAATATAAAAATGAAAAACAATTTGGAGCTAATTTTTGTCAGAGTGTAATTTTGATATTTTGTACTTTGATTTTACAGCTTTACATAGGGCAGGCAAACACATGGAGAACAGTGTAATAGCTGCATATGTGGCCTTACTCCTGGGCTGTCTAATACAGGATAATTCTGTAAGTAGTCATTGACCTCATTTCCATTTTCTGAATATTTTGTATTTATTCTTGTATCAGTATAATTCATCTCAGGAACATTTATAATTATATATATATTAATTAATAATTATATATTATTTTTAATATATAGGAACACTTTTGTGTCCAATTTACCTATGTAAGAATAAAATTTTGTGTCTTTTCAGATGTATGTCAGCCAAGTAAAGAATCATTTAGAGTCTGGAAGTTTTGAAGATCTTATTACAATTTTGAAGAAATTCTTAGGGTTTATGAATTTAACGGTGAGACTTTATTTCCAGTTTAGAATTCTTTGGGTGTATGAATTTAATGGTGAGACTTTATTTCCTGTTTAGAATTCTTAGGGTGTATGAATTTAACGGTGAGACTGTATTTCCTTTTTTGTAAATGTTCATGTATTTGGATTAATATTTTTCAGTGCCAACAAAAATTAAAGTTTCATCTAAGCAATACAAAAATCAAAAGCCTGAAAGGCTTCAATGGCATCGAACACGAAAAACAATTTCAAAAAAATTTTTTTTTTTAATTTAAAGATAGCAGTAGGTCAAATAATTTACTAATAAAAAGTTAAGTTTTAAACAAAATGTCAAATTTACAGTCTGGGACATTATGCCATGGTCCGAATAGAGCAGGGTTCGAATTGACTAGACACCGTCGATCACATTCATGCTGGATATCAAACTCATCTTTTTTTCAGTCAATTAAAGAAATATCAAGGATTTAATGAATTTATATGAATATTATTCTAATTGTCAATGTCTAAGCATTGTTTTAGTGCATCTAAACAACAACCGTAACTCGCTCTGTTGCGACTTCGATCGAGATATGATCGGGCGTGGTAGGCCTACACGGCGAAATGCGATATGGAAGAAATGGTGAAATGCAGTAATAACTTCAGTTTTATGATAAAATTGGTTATAAGATTGTAAAAAGTAAGGTTTACAGTTGGAAATTCAATCCTTTTAGTCTTCTAGCATTCGTGTTAATTTAAATATTGTGGTTATTTTACCGCCTATTAATATAAGTTGTTTGTGTTTACATGGTTCTCCTTCGTAAATATTATTCATGTCATTCAACACAACCTTTCTTTAGAAATTCATCCGCAAGAACTGTCACGTTTTTCTTGTGTGAAAATAAAAATTAAAACAGAGTATCTTTGTTATGTGACAAATTATTTGTAGATATAATTGATGCAATTTTATTTTCAAGCTATTATTCACTGTGAATATTTTCACAGAAATCGATGCATTTGTTATTGCTATTTTCTTTTGCAGATGCATGGACTGACACATTCGGTCGCGTAAAGTTTGGTCGCCCACTACATGGCATTCGAGCTCAAGAGCTCGATGCCATAAAAAATCTCGGCAGTTATTAACAAAACATGAACAAGTTTGATAACCAAAAATCTGACAGTATCTTTTAGCCTTTATGTAATCTTTCGTGACTGATTAGAAAATCTGAAATGGATTCTCCAAAAGTTTGTTTTTTTTTTTAATTCAAGTAAGAGAAAGTTGATGAAGTTATATTTTTTCATTGCTTCAAGCTATTAGGATTGATGAGGAGGTTTGATTCTGATAGCTCAGTTTCCTAAAAACAATAAAAAAGTGTTGTTATTTGGAAAAATTTTTGTTTTATTTTTGGCATTTCATTTTTTCCTTGATTCACATATATTAAGGTAAAATTAGTATTTCTCATGACACAAAGCTTTTACAACATGACGTGTTTGTCTTTACTACAGTGTGGATGAATCTGTAATTTCTCAAACTTTGTAGATGTGTCAAGACAAGATGGAAAAAGAAGTCATATTTCCTAACACTTGGCAATTTTGTGACTTGAGTTAACCTCTAGCATTATATTTGTTTTGGTCTTTTACAGCGTGCAATTGGAAGTACTGGAGGAAAGTCAATAGCTCATGTCATTGAAGTTCTAGAGGGATGCTAGCAGATCAATATCAAAGCACAATGGAAACAAATCAAAATTCAGATCAGATTTAAACTACTGCAAAAATATGATCATTGTTTTACTTTGTGATTTTGGCCATGAGACATCACAGCATACACCATCAACTTGTTGAACAGAAAATAAATTTGCTGCAATGAAAACCAGTCACCATGCAAAAATTTTCATAGGGGATGACAGCATAATGTTGATGTGAAAGAACTGTTTAATATCCCTAATCTGGCAATTAATGGATAGTGTGTTGAAAATACCTTTCATCAAATGATGCATTGACATGACATTTGACAATGTTTAGTGGTTACTTCCCCTGGGTCCAGCTATGCTGAGTTTACATCAAAGGCTGGACTCTTATTTTTATATTGTTCAATTTTTTGTATATTTTCTAAAAGAAAAAAAAAACAGGAGCAATAGATGTTTATGTTTTACATTTTCATTCTCATATTATTTTGTCTGTAGCATTTAGTTAAACATGTCTGAATGAAATATTAGGATGTTGCACCGATGAAATCATAGTGTTGATTGACCTAATGAAATGTTAGTGAGATGAGAGGATGATTTAGCAGATTAATTTTATCTGTGTTGACCATTGTAGTGAGGGATTGTAAAATTTATGATTTATGACATTTTACACTGTATAAAAGGGTGGAACTGAATTGCAGAAATGAATTTTCATCTGTACATTGTTAAATAAATACAAATTGATGCATACTTGAGATTATGGTTTTTGTGTTGCTTAAAGTAGTCCCTGCAAAGCATAAACAGTGAACAAATAAATTCTCTGTTGGAACTGGAAAAGTGCTTTGGGATGAAGAGGGGGGGAAAATTATGCAGAGTACTGTGAGGATTGGAAAAATTTTTGTCATTTTAAATTGGCAACTGATAGAAGTAGTCACATTGGGAGCTGATATAACAAAATATACAAGTTTTTAAGGTACATCACCCCTCTTTTCCTTCATTTAAAGTTTTGCTTTAATGATAATGATTTACTTCAAGAAATGTTAATTTAATTAGCATTCCTCGCAGCAGTTTTTCAGAAATGGCCTTTTGACATTTTTGTGAAGGAATGAAAGTTGGCGTTATCACTCTTATCAGAGGGTCAATGAACCTGAAAATAGTTTGGAAGTATCCTGGCTGTCTTGTGCTGTTTTAGGTATTCCCATGTAGTGGGGATTGAAGTGTTCAAATCATGTCCTGTCTTGGAGGGGGGGGGGGGGGTATGGGATCAAAAATATTCTCAAGGAGACTAGGAAAATCTTTTAAAAATCAAATGTCAAGAAACAGGACCTCGATCACAAAGCATCCACATCGGTCCTGGGGACAGGGTAGGGCTACAACAAGGGAATAAAGTTTTATATAAGGAAAAAGATCAGAATAGCAGCATCCCGCATTAGTGCAGATTTACATTTTTACAAATGACGACTCTCATGGCAAGGTTGATGCCATGTACAATGGAGGATCAACATTTGAAATAGGAATGTAAAGGGAAGAAATTAAAAAATTTCCTTCTTAGAAAAGTAGGGTCATGATTAGTCAAATTATTATGCAAGCATTCCCATGTAGTCTACTTGATTTATTAAAATTTGTTCCAAGTTTTGTCCTTGGGGGTATGGTTAGGTCACAAAAGGAGATAAGTTTTACATTGAATATATCAGCTCTAAAAAAGCAACTTTTTTTCAAGAACAACAGGTCATGATAAATTGCCTGCTTTGTAGCTCTCAAAGACAACAGGGAGAGGGAAAAGTGTCTTTGTAATTTTAACCCCAATTCTCTTCCTAAATGTTTATAACTCTGCTTGGAAAGTTTGTGTGTTTATGGGGGTTATATTGGGAAGGGCGTGTCCGTCCGTAACACGCGGTAGCCATCCCTAGCCTGCAACACCACCACTGAATTCATAGAAGTATTGTGCATCTAAATGTACATTTTAGCGTCTCGATGGGACACTTGCGGTTTCCAATAGCAAAAACATGAACACTGCTATTCGTCCTATAATATAGGAGGTATCCGTCTCTAATCCGCAATTCCTCCTATACCACTGAATAAAATTTAACGAGACTTTCAAAGAATCTTTATTACATGGTATCATTGTGACCTCTTGTACATTTCGATCGGAAACATATTTTGGGTTTCCCCATAGCAAAGCATGGACACTGCCATTCTTTCTATAAAATTGGGGTACCCATCTTCTATACCATTGAATGCATAAAATTTTATGAAACGTTCACAGATTTTTTTTTTAAATAAGGGTAATCGTGTACCTCCTATTTTATGTTTCAGATATTTGGGGGTTCCCATGGCAAAACTTGGACACTGCCATTCTTCCTATAATATTGGAAGTATCCGTATCTTATTTGCAACTCTTCTTATACCATTAATGACACTAGAAAGAATCTTTATTACATAGGGCTGTTCTTTTATATTTTGATCGGACAGACATTTGAGGTTTCCAATAGCAAGCATGGACACTGGCATTTTTTCTATGATATTTGGGGTACCCATCTCTTTATTTGCAACTTCCACTGAATAAAGTGTCATTGTGCACCTCCTATTTATAATCTGAAAGTACAGATATTTGGACGTTGTCAATTAATATGATATACATTATTTATCATATATTACTGATATAAGAGCCCGGGGTGGGGAGGGTATCATTTTGTGAGCTCAGTGCTCACAATACCTTTAGTTGATTTTTGTAAAACTTGGTTTATGTACACAAATAGACTACACAGGATATTTAATTATGTTTATTTAATTTGCATAAATGATATTGCCATTATTTTCTAAAATGTAAAATTTCTGTGAAATTTAACCGCCACCCCTACAAGGTAAACAGTTTTTGTCCATTTAAAAAAAAAAAAAAATTAAGCAGTGGAGTACACCAAGAAATGTAATTCTGCATATTGAATTTTGATAAATTATCTTGCCATTTTCTTCTATAATGGGAAATACCTGTGAAACTCTTTTGAATCATTACTCCTACATAGTTGAAGTTTTGGGCCATTTCAATAAAAGTTTGTACGCAAGTAAACTATACCAAAGTAAGGAAAATTACTATTCTTCTTCAAAACACTAGTCCGATATTTATAAAACTTGGTACCTATGCAAGTAGACTCCACCAAGATACAGAACTCTGTCTTCAAAACGTTGCTCCTCCAGTTTTGGTCTGATTTTAGAACGAAGACCTGTATCAAAATTTATAATTTTGATTCATGGTGTTGCCATAGCTACCAACAAAAACATTCTTTCAAAAAGATACTAGAATTCCTCCTTCAGTTTTGATTTTAATTCAATAAAACTCCACAAGTTTAGAAATCTTCAGGATATAGAGTTCAATTACTACAAAAAGTATGGTATTTCAAGCCCAGGCGTAACTTTTCCAATGCACTGTTATACGTGGGTGCCAGTAGAGATAATATTATCAGAGTCCTCTGGTTGTAATTTATGCTACTATTATCATTGGGATCACATACTCTCTGCTCTACAGTATCAATTCTTCATACAGCTCTGTTAATCCCTGGTTATAACATCCATTTTTAATATCACCGGTCCATTTATTACTTGGACTGACACACGTCTTAACTATGCAGCTCTCACAGGCACGTAACAACGGGGGGGGGGAGAGACAGGGGGACTTTTTTTTACTATTTGAAATGTTAATTGAAAGGCCGGTTGGCAGGAGTTGGAACCTTCCCCCCCCCCCCCCCCCACGAAATAGGGAAATAGGATTTTCGTCGAGTTCGGGAGTTCGGACAAATTTCCTTTTTTTTTTTTTTGCTTGTCAGGGTTTTTCCAGGTAAGTTGAATTTTTTTTTCTCTGGCTGGCACCCCCACTTTCAAAAACGATGCTACGTCCCTGTCTCACAATATCTTAGTTTTTGGTCAATAACTAAAGATTTCCTTATTTTTCTTACAAGTTCAAGAGAAAATTTACCTACTTTGCAATATACGGTATAATCATATGTACTCATTATAATCTTAACACCAAATAAAGTAGATAATTTAGACAAAAAATATTATGAACCGGCCTTTTAGAGTGAGACGATACATTCTGGAAAACTGTCTATATGGTGAGCCCCCCCCCCCCCCTCCCCGACGTTTGGCTAATAGTGAGCTTCTCCCAGGGAAATCTCAATTCATAGCCATTCTTACAGGGGAAGACTCACTATGTAACCACTCTTCTCCCCTTGATAGGTTCGCCTAAATGATATTTTTGCAAATCTTTTATCACCATAAACTTTACGTAAATCATTATATATTTCGGTAAAGGATTTTCTAAGTTTTACTTAAACTTTATAACCGTTCTCTCCTCTAATGCAACGGACCATAAACCTAAAGCTTTAGGTATATAGTCTGACGGACTCATCCATTTTAGTCATAGTCAACTACATCGTGACGCCTTTTTTACATTGTGACTTCGTACGTGACGCAAATTGCTACGTCTGAACTGTGGTTTACGTAGATACAGAAATTAGTTCGCGAACGTTTTGATCACCCCTTGTATCTGCGCTCATAGAAACAGAAGTGTCTCAATGATACTATTATTTTTAGCAAAAAAATTCAGATCTTATCCAGCACATGAAACTTGTTTGACAGAATAGTGGTTATTTTGCTTAAAACCTGTGGAAGATAGGTATAAATATCTTGTAACAAGAATGGAGAAAATGTGGCGGGCCGGACCAGGATTCGAACCCGGGGCCCCTGAATCACTGGTCAGGTATTCTACCGTGTAAGCTATCTGGCCACCATATATCGAACCTGCCTGATTGCCACGTACATTCCTCCCTCCTTAAAGGTCCCGAAGACACCAACCAAGGCTCTTTCCTGGCAGGTTTTGTTTGGTTGGTTTTTTTAACGTCTCTTCGAGAATTTTTCACTCATATTGAGACGCCACCACTTGTCTTGGAGGGCTGAAGGAGAAAATTGCAACGAACAAGACCAGGATTCGAACCCTGGCCCCATGAATATTGTTATGCCCCTGTAATTGAAGAT